GAAAACTTAGTATCGCTAGAGAACAATGGCCAGAAAAAGGCACCCAGGCGGAACTGTAATCTGAATGTGGCAGAGCAATAGAATATCAAAGAATCACCTGAAATCGTGAACCTGAGCATTTACTGCAGTTTTACAGCATACACGGTATTTCTGATTTCAGATGTTAACTCAGTTTTGAAGCAAAAAAGGAAATATCTGAGCTGTTTGAAAAAAACGTGGTTTGTGAACAGCACAAAACAGGATAATTGATTTCTCTGCCAATGACACTATTTTCTAAAATGATACTTAGAAAGGTCACAAGATTCAACAGGAAAAGAAGCAGTAGTCATTTCACATTCTGCACCAACATTTTAGTCACTACAGACAAGTAATGGGAAAAGTTATTTTAGGAGACATGCGTTATAAATAGTGGTCTGTATAGTTAGCACAATTCCTGCTTATATCTTCAGCTGAAAAGTTAGGGTAAGAAATCAGAATATGAGAAAGCTGTTCTAACAGTTATTCTGAAAACAGTTTGGATTTGAATGATTTAGAATTGGCTTTTCAGAACAAAGAAGTCTACCACTGGGTAAAGACAGGAGAGGTAAGGGGTGCTTAGGTTCAGGACAAATTAACGTGGTAAATAAAAGCTCTGGTACTGTATGAGAGAACAAAACTGATGCATTTGACAGAAGTAATTCACAAATAGAAAACCACAAATCTAATCTTAACAGTTATTCGAAGTTTTTCAAACTTTCCAAGTTGCCTGAGCTATCAGCAGAGCGAGCTGTGGGAAAGGGGTTCCATCTTCCTTTAGTTACTTCCCAGGGTAGGAAGCGGTGTTGATAAACTTCCTATAAAGACTCAGTACTAATTCAAGAATCCACCCTCTTCCATATTGATAGCTAAAAACCATTTCCACACACAAATCACACTAGCTCAGCCCACTTACACGATGGAAACCCACCAGGCACCAGAATCAGACCAGCTGGGCAAAAGCCAGAAGCCTACGATTTTTTTTCTTCATACTGCATACAAGCGTATCTTGTTACATGTTTGGACTAAGACTAAGTTTAGCATTTTTAAATACCTCCCAGTGACAGGAAGCTTTATAGGGATGTTTCACTTTTATTTCTGGGAAATTCCAACAAAGCGGGATTTTGGCGTCACCACTTCTGGGAAGCAATGCGTGAAGTCAGCTCCTGTGTCCCACAACCGACACAGGCATCACAACACCCATCCACATTTCTTTCTCTCCAAATTCCCATCCTAGATTACAATAGTTTGTGGCTCATTTTCTTTTTAATGCATTGCCACTAGCACAGATTACAAAGAAGTGTACCAGGTTTTTCTCTGACAACACAGTCTGATGACCAAGATCTGTTGCTAGCAACACAGTATTTTTGTTCCTGGGTTGCTATCTCTTTGAAAAGTTGTATAAATGGTCATTATCCATATTTAGAAGCAGAAAATAAATCTGCTTACATAACTGTACTGACTACAAACAGTAGCTGAAAGCAGCTGACATGCATTACTAACCATACCTCAGGTTTGATGGACAGTACAAAAGAAACTATGTTTGCAGTGATCCAGGATTAAAAGAAAACCTTCATAAATTGAAGGCTTAATGTTTAAGATTATTTCGATATAATTGATACAGTGCATTTCTACCTCCATTTTATTTTACCAGCATCACCTACTGGGGAGAGAATAACTTTCAACTTATATTGTAATTTTCACAAGAGATATGAGAATGTTTGAGAAGGTTTTCCTTAACCCATGAAACACTCTGAACAGCATACACATGATCTAAAGCCTTACATTAGCTATGTTTGCATTATTTTCTCTCAATAATACAGACTAGTAAAAAAAGTGAGGATTTCGGAGTACAAGGAAGGAGAAGAGAAGGAAAGTGTGATCTGAGCACCTGAGCCTTCGTTCATGTCATCCTGTTTGCAGCATCAGTGCAGCAGGCAGCAAGCGGGAGAAGGAAACTGATCTCCATTAAAAGCAACTTCGTAAAAACGTATTTCAACCTAGGTGAGCCTCCTGTCTGGTCCATCACACAGCACTCACAAAAAAGAACTACTTTTCCTCATGTTACTTTAAGTAACTCATAGGTTAGGAACTTCTGGTTCTAAACACTTGTTTCCAAAAAGTAAGACTAAATTTATCCATATATGCCTGACTCTTAAGATAACCTAAAGAGAGAGAGAAGCATATTCAGCTTTCATTAAAGCAAAAGTGTTCAAAGCCGCTCCCCTCCAGAAATGTTCACTGCAGCCAACTCCAGGCACATGAACTGGGTCGGGAGCAGTTTTTGTTATAAAACAGGTCACACCCTTGTGTATATAATCTCTCATTCATCGGCTTCGTTTCATCCTAGCCCAGAGTTCAGAGGTTTGCAATGCACGTACGAAAACAGGTCCTTCCCCACTCCTCACTTCTAGTAATGAATGTACTTCAAAAAGGGTAAGACCCCTGTGTCTCTGGGGACGATGATCTAACTCAAGGCCTGCTGCCAAGACAGTTTAGCAATTCCCTTCCCCCCTTACTAATGTAAGCTTAAAAAATACAACCAAAAAAACCCCCACAAGAAAACACTACACATCTGTGCAACCCATGAGGTGAATAGCTTTCTCAGCCCTCACGTGGAACATTTCCAAAAAAGCAGGGATTTGATCACATGAAGGAACATGACATCCTCCTTTTCAGCCAACAAGGATAGTGCAAAGATTAAGCAATACAAAAAGGAAAATTTCAGAGATGTTCACATAATTTCTGTAATAATTACACATTCAAGTCTTCTATGCCTTTAGCTAACATGTTAAACCATGCATGTCCCAGGATTAATTCACAGGCTTTCTTTGCTACAGAATGAACTTTCACTTCCAAATTCCACACAGTCATATTGCTCAAAGGGCAGAAATGCTGGATGATGTCTGTTGAAGTGCCCTAAACATTTCATACACAGACTCACAGGATCTAAGGTGGGACTGAAAAATCTTGCAGAAATCTGGTCTGTTCAGTGTGGCCATGCACTGCATATTGCTGGAACTATTCTCACGTATCCTGCAGTCCTACCCCCATGCTAGTAGGCAAGTGACCACAACTTGCAGATGAGAAGAAAGTCTAAAATTCACTTTGCAGTACTCTGTTTGCAGAAAAGGAATCAAGTGTCACCTGAGGACAACTGAATACAAGCATGTCTCATAAGTGATTTCATGAAGAAGAGTGAGCAACATCTGATATATTCCTTACATCTTACGTTCCTTAAAGTTTCATCAATCCAGAAATTGATATAATCCACAGTTCATCAATCACCAATTCCTACCATGTGACAGACTTAGGTTCATCAGTTCACTTGTAAGTTGAATTAAAATAATTAGTATTAAATTGTGCTTACAAGTGTCTTCCTCAGTAAGTCTTACTGCAGAAACAACACTTATTTGTTATCTGATTACAGAGCACATAGAAGTGAGTTAGAAAACTGTTTGACATTAAGGCTAGAGTATCACATGTTATTTTGTTCTAGTGGTCTTGTATGGAGAATGTCAATTCCACAAGTTGTTTCCTCAAAGCTCCTACAGGATATTAGCTTTGTTTTACTACACATAACAAATTTCCTTTACAGACCAGTGATTGAAAGGCAGAGAACACAGCATCCCAAATCCTGCTGCAACAGAAACAAATTATGATCTAGAGCAACAACTGAGCAGGGCAGCAACAAAATACCTTGAGCCAGGTGACTACAGTTTCAGCCTAACAATATTTTCTGGGTGATAGAGCAGGGAAAACAAAAACAAAACAGCATTAAAGCAGAAATTACATGAAATGCAAATCTACACAGAACAAACATACCCCAGCGGGAATGCAGCAGAAGAGTTGGAAGGAAAAGCCATGATTCAGAGAGTGCAAAGGCTAGAAATGCAAAGCTTAGTTTACATAATAATTTGCCAGTGCCTCGCACTATACAGCACAAAGTACATTACTGATGTTAGATATGTTTATCTCAGGTGCAATAATTTTCATCTTTTGCTGTTCCAAGAGAAATGAGGAGCATTGGTCAGACTTGGTCGGATGCATGGAACACACTCGAGGGCAGCAGACTCCAGCGCTGAAGCCTCACTTCGACGTTTAGATGAGAGATCCTTCTCCTTGCAGTATGCCTTGTAAAATCTTTATGACATATACAGACTGAGACAAAGCTAGTTTTGTTGAAATTATTACCACATAGCTCTCATGAATCTCCTGAACAATGGTTTACTGTATGGTTCAACACTTAATTGGAACAGAATGTGACTTAAGTCATTAAATCGTGTTTAAAAACAAAGTATGTTTTTTAAGGATGCTTTTAGAAACAAAATCAGACACTGGAAAAATGCAATGGAATCTAATTTAGGGATTGTTAAGCTTCACATTTCTTTAGCACTGTTCATCTCACTACATCAGGACACTTTCCATTGTGGAAGATCTTCATAGCACACAGCAAAAGAGGTTCCAAAGATTTGGAGAAATCACATCATCTATTAGTGAGACACACGCACCATTTTTTTAATAACATGTTACCCTAAAACAAGGTACTTAGGACAACTGGAAGAGAGGATTTTCCTTTCTATTGCAGTAGGGAAACAAGGTTCCCAGAATCAGCAGCAAGCCAGAATGTTTAAAATTAACCTAGGGTAAGTTCCTTTGATAAACCTGCAGGTCAAATCACCACGCAAGACGGCAGTTCTACTAAAATTGGAAAAGGAAAGAGAAAGAGGATAGATTTTCTTCTTCTTACTCCATTAAATTAATAATTAGACTAAGAGCAATGAGACCAGCTAGGCACACAGAAATATCTTAGCAAAGCCTGACCCACAAAAATGGCATCAAGAAAATAGCTGCAACTCCAATCCCTCTCTCCCCCTGCAAAACCTCTAGATCTGAAGGTTACGATTGTCAGTTTTCTTCTGAATTAACAGGATAATCAAGCAAGATTTTCACCTATCCCTATTCCACAATTTGTTAGCATTTCTCCATAATATATTTATCTAGCCAAAGAGAAATCTTATAAGCCAGCGTACTTGTTTGTTTGGTTTTTTAACATTAAAGAAAAGCACGTTAGATAAGAGCTCCCTCTAGATAAAAAACATCCTACTTAAGTTTTGCTCCACTCCCTTTCCAAGTTTTACGTCTAGATAACAATCATGATTTCTTGATTTAAAATATTGTTGTATAGGTTTGCCATTTTTGTGCAAAAGGGCTACAAACATGGCAACAAGTCAAAGCTGACCCATAACATTTTCATGAGGGGAAAAGAAAAAGTTATCCCTCACCTACTACACAATGAGCTTAGGCTCTTGCCTCCTCCTGCCCATTTAACAGAGCACGAATTTCCATACCGAACATTTGTTTCCACATTTTTAGTTTTAATAAAAGTAAGCTACGTTTCATTTTTTCATATTATCTCATCTTCTATGGTACTAAAATAAACGGTAGAAAAAGTTATTAAAGAGCAACTTTTTTTTTTTTCTTAAGAGGTACAGGAAATTTTACTAACTAAACTGGTATGACATATTGCAACAACCAGACAGACTGCTATTTAGTAATACTTCATTACATAAAGGAAATGACATTTGATCTTTCTTAACCAAGATCTGCATTACAGCTGGACCCTTCTGTTTTTCTACATGATTTTCACAGATTTTATCTACCCAAACAAATAGTTTTGCCGTGTGCGTGCATATGTAAGCTGACTTTAAAGAACCACCTATCTGAATGAAGCACTAGTAGTCAGTAGAAAAATAAATACCAACTAGAGCAAATGTTCCATGCCCAGGGTTTCAAACCCTTAAGAGAGGAGCCTGTTGGAATACAACTTAGCAAACAATTTACTGAAGTCTTACTGCAGCAGATCTGCCCTGCTGCTGGGGAAGGTTCAGATGAGCTGGGATTCACAAGCAGTACACAAACCCTGTGGAGACAGCTAAAAGCCTCCTCCTGTGCATGTGTGCCCAGCACAGGACTGGCAGTTTCTGTCCCTAACAATAATGCTTAGTAAGGCACAACAAATGTGGGAACTCTTGTTTTGTGGAGGGGGAAAAAAAAAATAAATCTATTCTTACAGTATTTAAGATGCATATTATTTTTTAATTTTCTCCTGAAAAGGAGAATGCTTCCCATCGAGTCAACGAGAAGACTAGATCCAAAACAAAGATTTAAAATCCCAGGCTTTAATAACGTGCCCACTCATTGGATCAGTGTTTCCGTGGTTTTTAGACCACAAACTACTGCCAGATTTCAAGGCTTCTTGCAATGTTGATGACATAAATAGTTAATAATAACTATGCAATCTTATTAAACCTCTCAGTAAGGATACTAGAAAGACAACATGATTGCATACACCACTTGCCTGGCCTTGTCAGCCTGCTTCTTTGAACATTACAGAGTATCTACCACGACATCATTCTACTGCTATTTTTTAAATTCAGTGTAGTATTACAAAAGTTACCGCCTGTACTCAGCATCACAAGGCATAAGCCACAGGCACAATGACAGAATTTGTTATTATTGGCACAAATCAGGGGTAGCTCTCACTTCGAGGATACCATCCCCATCAGAACTTTGCAGTATCTGATAAAAATTTTGAGTCTTATTTCCTTCCTGTGCTACATGCAAACAGCACGCCAGCCCCAGCACCACAAAATGCTTGAACAGGAAGCATCCCGCCTCTGCACAGTAGCACTCATTTGGAAACGCTGTAAGTTAAAAAGCATTACAGCTGCCAGTGCTTCAATAAACTTTGGTTCATGGTAGTTCTGGCTAGTCCACTTCAGAGATTTCATAACCACTTACACCAGATAGGGTTGTGTTACCTTTCTTTTCTCTTGTAAAAGGCACATAGTCTTCCCTGTCTTTGTGCTCAAGAGCCTGCTTCTCTAAATATGCAAGGAGTCGTTCCCTGTCAAAGGGGCCTGAAGCCTTTTTAGCAGTCTGGTCTTTCTGTCGGAAGCCTGCAGGCAGAAGCGCATTCTGCAAAACAAAATAGAGCAAATAAGTACAGCTTAGCAAGTCTGAGTGAACACTTGTTTAGTTTCACTTCCCTCTTTCTCCCTCTCCCCAAGGTTCAAACCGGGTATGTCATCCTTTTTAGGCAATCTTTGATCCCCTGCCAACTTCCATCTTTTGGTGCAGGGGAGGCCACAAGGTAATCTATTCTTTAGATACCAAGAATATAATCAGAAATAGAGCACACTGCACTCTAAATAAGACTGAAGCAATTCTTTAAGCACAATACCTCCCAGCACTACACTTGCTAGTTACTTTTTTTTTTAAAAAGTTACTTTGCATTTCTTTTCTAAAATGAACACTGTTTAAATGACTAGTAGTAAATAAAACTCAGCTATTTACAGTTTAAACATTCAGCAAGAGACTACTTCCTCCATCACTTACATCCATGTTTCTAAGTCTTTCAGACAACTGCCTATACTATTGTCTGGCTTTAACGCAGGGTATTTCTACTTTTGACTTGACTCAGGGTGGGGTGTTTTATTGCCATCATCAACATATTTCAGCTAAAGAAAACAAACAAACAAAAACCAGAAAAAAATGGAGGATATCAGTACGGAAAGAACAGAACATATAGAAATTCAGACTGCCATAAAAGACAACCAATCACTTTTGCCAGTTCTCCTCTGTTAAAATGTCTATAAAGCCAAAGCCAATTAAAATATCAAGAATATTTTGCAGTGCAACAAAATAGGTGATCATAATATTCTTAAGCGATCCCTGAACATCAAGATTAAACCTTACTCCTGTTACTACTAAAGCGGGAACAGAGAATCAGGAGGTGAAAACACAAGTCTTGGACTCTGACATTAGCTGCAGTATCCAGTATCAGTAGAGGACATAATTCAGCTCTTTAACAGAAAGTTAAAATATTCCTTATTCAATACCCCATGCTGACATAATCATTCAGGAGCTGAGTAATTATTTGCCTCCTCTTTGCAAAGTCAGCACAAGGACAGGAATAGATACAGGCCACCAGATACAGGACCAGGAATCTTTAGAAGAGGTTAGCACTCTCCCTCTCCCAAACTCCCACGGTAGAAATAACAAAATAAAAATGGATGCAAAAGGACTGTTTACCAGACAGCACTGGAAACAGCAAAGTTAAACAGGCCTTTCCAAATAAACTTGCTTTTCAAGAAGATGACTAAGAGCAATTTTTATTTATAAATAAATCCCAGAAAGCTCTTCCTGACAATCCCTTGCAGTTTACTGCAGTTGCATTCACGTTGCAAACAGGAAATAAACAGTTGAAACATTATGTATGTGTATATATCTGTAAATAAGATCATTACCAGACTAGGAAACAACTCTGTCCAGAAGTATATGGTACAAGTAAAAAAAAAAAAAAAAAAAAAAAAAAGGTCTCAATTTATTTCAAACTAGTTTCTGAACAAATGAAAAACTAAAACTTCTCTTGGCTAATACCTACATCAGGGTCAAGATCATCCAAAACAGTTTCCAGTTGTTTCAGTTCTTCTTCCGAAAGTTTGCCAAGAATTTCATCCTCATCGAGATCTTTGTACTTGTCCAAGTCCTTTCGAAATGGGAGTGTCATGACTTGGGCAGGAGCAAGTTGCTCAAACACTTCAAAACCCAAGTCTTATTCTTAACCAGATCTATAAAAAAAGTTTTAAAAAGAAATAACCATAGTTAAGGTAAATATCCCAACTACAAAGCATCTTCAACCTACAAACACATCTTTGAAATTAAAGGTTTTTCATCCAGTATTCATATCTATCTGTTATTCTACAACAAAGAGCACTTGGAAGCTGTCTACACCTTGCTGCTTCACTGACAAGAATCCCATCCTGCCATGCCCTTTTCCATCAGTAACTAAGCTACACATATTTTCAGATGAATGCCAGTACCTGGTTTTCTCAATGAGAACTCCAAGGCCATAATTCCCACAGAGCAGGGCAGGCTGTGGGGTAGGAGGGAGGACATACCAACTATACCCAGTATGTATGAGTCCGGCTTAATGCCATCGGTTGTTACAGATGCTGCAATCAAAAGAAGAGTTAAGATTGATTGTTGCTGCTGCTGTTGCCATTTGAGGGCAGTAAATGAGAACTTCACTACAAACAAGCTAATTGGTTATTACTGACTCATATCCCTGTGTGTTACCTACAGAGGGAACAAAGGAAGCTTGTCTCCGAGTTAATTATAGCACTACCATTGAAATAACATTCTGTTCTATCAGAGGAAAATTAAAATACCTTGATGAAAGGCTTAGGGAATACAGCTCCTAAGTAGCAGCACTCCAGTCAATCCTACCACCAAAAAAAGATTAAAAATACAGAACAGATTCACTAACTGCATATCTGCTCGCTAAATATTATACATAGAGGAAATTGGGCTCCTTCAAAAATGTACAGTCTATATAGTACTTCTCACTGACAAAGAAAGCACAGGGAACCTTTTTTCTAACAGTCACAATTTTTGAGCTTTTGGCTTGGAAAAAACAAACAGTCACGACAGTGTTGAAGCAGACCAGTTGGTTTCTCAGATTTTTCTGTAAGGAGTTCTAGGATTCTCCTTTTGCTTCCAGTTGAGCACACATGCAAAAAAGGTAACTTGAATGACTAAGTGAGCAAGAGTGTCCATAATGGATGTGAGGAGCAAAAGCTAGATCCATATATTCAGGCTCATTAGCCTCCCAAACTCCTTTCTCGGCTCTATAAAAATACTCAACACAGATCAGACATACAGCAAGTGTTAATGGTTCTCCAGTAGTCCACATTCCGGTTCAGATGCTCACACCACATACACTAACTGCATTATGTCAAACCTGCACTCACACTGTTCTTCAAAACCAGATCAATTTAAAGTTATTGCCTCTTAAGTAAAAAGAAGGAAGAGCCTTACATACATACTGTACCATGGAATCCTGCTTACAGGATTCCTTCACCTCAGTTGTTTACATCAAGAAAGGTCTCCCTGGCTGTCAGTGTTATGCACGGTGATATTTTAATTCAGAGACACTGAACAGACATGAGCACATAAAGGTTCATCCACGTCATTCAGTCAAGTTTACCTGTAAAGTAGATCTGGTTTTAACAATTGCTCTTGCAAGAACAGCAAATTCTCATTTCCTACCAACGTCTACACCTGAAAAAAGAATATATTTACAGCTATTTCAGGATGTCTGCTTTTAAAAAAATGTTACTGATATAAACACTAGAGCCTACTTGTAAGCCACTGTTGACATCAATAGGACATAACTTTATCTAAGTTGGTATTTCAGCTTTGGAATTATCTCAAACATAACAAAAAACAGGAGGAATTCTCAATTTAATGGTAAATTACGTCAGAAGAACAGCGTCTGGCTTCCTCTGAACTAAAATCAATCATGTTGGAAGAGCTTGGACCTTTTGCAAGAGGACACAGAGCTGAGAACATCCAAGTTTAATGGCTGCCGAAAATGCTGAGGGTAGCACACCTATGTTTTTCAAAGCTGCATTCCAAAAGTAACTAAAGGAGTAACTATGGTCCAGCGTGCCACCTCCTACAGTTTTCATAGTCTTGTGGTATTTGTTTCTCCAGGTGCACAACAACTGAAGGACACTTAGCTGACAGCTGCAGCAGATGCCACACAATCTGCATGCAAACTTCTCATTCCTAGAGTCTTAATGTTTTGCCCTTCCTTACCGCTTAAGCCATTACACACTATCATAAGAGAAAAACATTTCCTGCAGCTGATTACACAGCATTGTTTGTGACCAGGCTGCACCATCTGAATCCTGCATCAACATGCTGCTATTTATCCCATTTCTGCATGTCCATTTGCATTCAAATATTAAAAGGTGTAGTTTTAAGGGGTAATTATAAGGTGCAGAATAGTTAGCGTACTGCAGAATAATGCTCCCCTTACTCTGATGGAGAGTAGCACTGCATAACCATACATTACATTCACATAGGCTATATTTTGTCCCCATGAATCACTGTAAAACACTGTCATCCAGAATTAATTACCTTTTATTTACCGCATTTCTATGTTTTACATTGGAAAACTACTCATCCTTTATAATACATTAATTAATGTTCAGGTCATAGCCCTTAGTCTCACTTGTTTCTATAATATGATCAAAGTAGCCATTTCTCATTGTGAGCTACAATGTTCATACACACAAAAAGAGTGAAAAATAAAGCAGCAGAGAAAAAGCCCCACTCTTTCTGTAACTGAGTCTTCACTTAAGCAAGAGGAATAGAATCACATGTGGCCTGGCAAATTTAAATTTAAAGAGTTTGGGATATATTTTCTAATACCTATCAATCAAAATTATATTTTTAAATATGCAAGCATACTTAACGTGAGACACCTTTAAAAAAGGTTATGATGGTAGCACTGATTAGCATGTCTGTACTACACAGAGATTGCTTGGTAACGACTTTCAGAAACATCCCTATGGAAGAAACCACAGCATATATGACACTAATATATAATGTGCTAAAAATCAGGTTTTAAAACATGGTATCAGGAATTCTCATTGCCTAAAAAGGGCATAAAGGCCGGCTGAAGCCCTAATCTAATCAAACAAGCCCCCTCACCTCCCATTAAACACAACTGGTACTCTATTTGCTTTCCATCACTCACTGTAGTAGTGCAACATAAAGATAAATGCGTAACAAATTACAAGATTTTAGAAGGAGCAGTTATTTAGACTCTGAATATTTGTGGCACATCTTACTGCAAAATCATAGGCAAAACTGTAACCGTCAATTTTGGCTTTGCAAATACTTTGCACTTTTTTGACAAGCGGAGCTACTTTTCTTCTAAGTATCTTTCTTAGCTTTACCATGAAAACATTACATATCTTAAAAGTCAAAAGGGATAGTACTCTTTTTTCAGATATATAACTGTAAGTTAAAGTAAGTTCTTCACTCTAGCAACTTCATAGTTGCATAAGAAACATTTAAGGAAACAGAAACAAAGCCATCACTTCCAATCAATCAAATTTCAATTCTCCGTTAAGCAGAAGTTGAAAAATCAGAAGTGAAGATATTCTGCTGGGCACCACAGACGCAAAAATCTTACCACTGTTCCTTTATCTGAGAAATCAAAGAACAACTAAAGAAACTAGAAGATAGCAGTAACTTTAGTTTAGCTGGACTTGTGCAAGGCATTTGACACTGTCCCGCACGACATCCTTGTCTCTAAATCGGAGTGACATGGATTTGATGGATGGACCACTCAGTGGACAAGGAATTGGCTGGATGGTCTCACTCAAAGAGTTGTGGTCAAGGGCTCAATGTCCAATCAGAGACCAGTGATGGGTGGCGTTCCTCAGGGGTTGGTATTGGGACTGGCACTGTTTAACGTCTTTGTCAGCGACATGGACAGTGGGGTCGAGTGCACCCTCAGCAAGCTTGCTGACAACACCAAGCTGTGTGGTGGGGTCGACATGCTGGAGGGAAGGTCCCCAACATAAGGGCATGGACCTGTTGGAGCGAGCCCAGAGGAGGCCCCAAAGCTGATCAGAGGGCTGGAGCACCTCTCCTATGAGGACAGGCTGAGAGAGTTGGGGTGGTTCAGCCTGGAGAAGAGAAGGCTTAAGCTGAAGGAGGGGAGATTTAGATTAGAGATTAGGAAGAAATTGTCTTCTATGAGGGTGGTGAGGCACTGGAACAGGTTGCCCAGAGAAGCTGTGGATGCCCCATCCCTGGAGGAGTTCAAGGCCAGGTTGGATGGGGCTTTGGGCAACCTGGTCTAGTGGAGGGTGTCCCTGCCCATGGCAAGGGGGTTGGAACTAGATGGGCTTTAAGGTCCCTTCCAACCCAGGCCATTCTGTGATTCAGGCCATTTTAAAACTACCTGAATCACCCCCTGAAAGACTGTCAAGCAACTTTCACACACTTATCCACAAGTTAAAATATTTTTCTTTTCTCTTCTCTGACAGAGTATTTTTAAAAACCGAAAGATTCTAAAAATAGCTAGCTTTAAATTTTCTTTCCAAAAAATCACCCCCCAGAAATTTCTATTATACTTAAGAACACAATTTCTTGGGACTAACAGGAGTAACTCTTTAGAAATATCTTGCCCACAGGAAACTACAATCTTGTTAAAGTCCACTATAAATGGTTTCCATAACTTACATTTTAAAATAGAAGTGACATCATGAAAAACAAACCAAGCCGGTTTTGGCCAGCATGTTGACAGAGTTCACTTTAATCTCATTTGTTCCTTTGGAGCCTCCTTCCACCCAGCCTCTGTGTGAACCCAGCCCGGAGCAGGGGGGGTTCTGGAGCAGGGGTTCCGCATGGTTTT